GGAGGGAGTTCATTCCAGCACATGTATTTTCCAAGGCTTTTAATTATAGTCGAACGCACAAAGCACGGGCTTATTTTAAATGCGCATTTCAAAGCAATGATTAACGTATTGTTATGTAGAATGAATCTAAAACAAGATATTATCGAAATAGACCAAAACAGAGAAGAAAAGTGGTTGTCTGAGACAGAAGGACGTTTTCGACAATTGTCATTATAAGTTTGTTTTTTTTTAAAGCAAGGGGGGAGATAAAAAAAATGTCTCTTTTACAGGTGGTTGTCTTGCACAATTGACTTTTAGAGAGGATTCGACTGTATTTCCCATCAGCCAGAGATTTCAAAATACTATAGCTCAAAAAGAAAATATAAATGGTTGTGTTAAGGAGAATTACTCTTGCACGATGCTGAAAGTTTCATGCCGTGGAAAACCGTGGTTAGGCTGGCATATACTAAAATGGGTATTACAGAAGTACATGTTACAATAAGGTTTGGGTAGATCTAGTCGGTTCTTGTTTGTTTGTTTTTGTTTTTGGGGGGTTATTTTGTTTGCTTGTAATTTCTTTTTGTTTGTTTGCGTGTGTACGCGTGTGTGTATGTGTTTGTGTGTATGTTTGTGTGTGCAACAATTAGGTTTTTCTCTGTTCAACATGAAAGACATAAGTACATTTTGTAGTGAGAGGAACTTGTTTTATCGAGGACCTTTGTATTTCTGCTGACAAGATGTGCCCCTTTGGGGCTAAGTTGACTTGTAAATGAGTCAAGGCAGCCCACCTTCCAAATTATGCCTTAATATGACCTGTGCAAAACGTTTAAAGTTAAAGAATCACTACGATATCTTCAATGTAGACACCTTTCAACCACAGAAAGTTCACATTAACGAAGCAAATGAGAATAATGGAAGTTCACTGCAACAGTATAAACATAAATAAGCATGACGACAAAAATATAAAAAAGAGAAGAGATGATGATATATCTCTTTGTACTGAATAAAAGTTTTAGATCTATGTATCATAGGAAAGAAAAAAGAATTAGAATTACATTTAATAGCTAAAAACAGGTTTGGAAGAGACCATACGTAAAATACTGAGTGAGTTATGATCGCGCCAGGCAGCCTTCTGTGCTCCTGTTAACTTATGGTACTCCTAACTGTTTTAATTCCTGGATATCTTAAAAAGTTATAGATCTGCTTGACGCAATGAAAATTACAAAAGTTAGTTCTGTTTTTTTCTGTTTTGGTGGACGGGTGTTATCAGTGCTACTGTACGCGTTTGATCAGTTTTGGTCCAGGTCTCCATTTACTAAAATATTGTTTGGACAAGTGAACACTTTTCCCAAATGGACACCAAGCCTGTGGTTTATAACACAGACATTGTTGATCAATTTACTGAAGAGGAAAATAGAACAACATCCTCCCTAGACACCCTGTTGTCATTTCGACCACTGAACCATGTTTCCATATTCCCGAATGTTACGAGGAGACTAAAAGAAAACAACTTAAACAGTATCGCAAAAACTAAAAGGTCAAACAGAGGAGGTAATAGAAAAACAGAATTTAAAATATCTGAGAGAAAAACAGGTCAAAAGAAAGGACACCAAACCCAAGCCAACACCGCCTCCAGAGAGACAGCACGTCACCAAGATGCGGCCCGGCCTCCACAGCATGCTAGCAGCGAGGAGCCCTAAGATTTGGCGCATTGGCTGCAGAGATGCCCCGTAACGGAGGTCTGGAGGTGACATCTCTTTGGGGAGGATTCAGGGAGGTTGGACTGCCTCACCCGCTACCTAAGAGAGGCGGTGGCCCTGACAAAGAGCACGCTCTTCGAGGCTCCAAACATTTCGAACGGATAGGCTATCACACACACAACAACAACAACTCAACAACAACAACAACAACAACATCAACAACAACAACAACAACAACATCAACAACGAAAACGACGACAACAACAAAAACACACTCATTGTTTTATATTATATCATTATACTAAATGTGACTCTAAAGGAATATGATCAAAGGAATCAAAATTACCAAAAACATGCACCAGAATTTTCAAAGTTGCGACACCTCTAGGGGAGAGCTCCCCAGACTGTTTGTCAGTTGCAAGGACAGTAGCCTGGAACAGAAACGAGCAAGTTACAGGCCTATTTCAGACGACACTGAGCGGGTGTATAGAACATCCCCAAATATTGTATTTAAAGACATGAATCCATTTACCAATGTTCAACTTTATTATTTTGATAACAGTGTTGAAATTATACTCTCTGTCTCTCTCTCCCTTTCTCTCTGTCTCTGTCTCTCTTTCTCTCTCTCTCTCTCTCTATCTCTCTCTCTCTCTCTCTCTCTCTCTCTCTCTCTCTCTCTCTCTCTCTCTCTCTCTCTCTCTTCATATCTTGACTTCCTTGATATGTTCCAAAAGAGAGACACGGTCAATACGCTTAAGAATCAAGGAAGGCGCGTGTGTATTATACTGGTGTGATAGAAATATTAATATGTGAGGCAGCGTGGTGAAATCAGGCGCTCGTCAAAGTAATGAAAGTCAAGAAACTGGCATTTTTCCGCAGGTTTTTGGGAATTTTTATAGAATTTTTGTTGTCATTTTTTTTCTTTGGGGGGGGGGTGTTTGGGGTTTTTGTGGGGGCTTTTACGCAGCATCTCTCATGACCATTATAGAACACATATTTTCTGTGTACATTTTACTGAAAAACGTTGGATAAAGACATAAAACAAGTAAGTTTTCAGTTTCCACGGATTTTCCATCTAAGGAAAGAACTCGATTTTGGCGGCCATTTTCTTGCTAATTTTACCTTTAAAACCAGGCGAACCCCATCTCCTTCCATCGCCAATATCTTGACTAGTATTCAAAACAAATGGCTATTTCCTCAAATTAAAAGCTAGACAAAAGAAGAGGCTTTAGAATGCTACCAATAACCCCGTATGCCCAAAACTTGACGAGCGCCTGATACCACCACATCGTGACAAATATATATATGCTTATGAAAGGAGTGTTTTTTTACCAAGAATTGTCCCCCAACAACCCCACACAGAACCTTTTCCTTCACTTCAGATATCTCTTCTAATCGCTGTCAATAAAAATGTCATTCTTTTAATGTATCTGATACAAATGTTTTATCTACTGAACGAAACGATATGTCTTACGTATATTGGACCAGGGTTTGGCACTTCGTTGAAGAAGCTAGTTCTGAAGCTGATGACCCCCGTGTTTTTGTCTATTCTAGCTGGAGCTCCGCTCTTTTCTATTCCTCCAGCCAATAGGGAGTACTGCACTTTCGAGTAGGCCGGGCTGTCCGCGTCATAGGCTGCCAAGTGGCCAATCATAATTGTCTCCGCTGTTTCTTTGTCCTGCAGACGGAAAGAAAAGAAACCCTTTAAAAAACTGAAGTTAGTCACTTACACTTAGTTTACGTTAATTATGTCGGGTGTTTTTTGTTTTTTTAGAGAAACACATTATTGGGAAGAAAGAAGATTTTAGCCCTGAAAACTTAGTTCAGGTCATTTTAAAGGCGCACATATTGGTGTCCCTGGTATAATGGTTAAGCTCTTGGCCGTTAAATACAGGATTATTTGCAAAAAGGGAAGTCTATTATACCATAATATATTTCTGTCCTTCTACTAAGTTCTACGGAGAAGTTACATCCCTCTGAGCCTTTCATTAATAACATCATCATCATCATCATCATCATCATCATCATCATCATCATCATCATCATCATTCATCATATAATCATAATCATATCATCATCATGAAGAGTTAAATCTCAAACAGGCATAGGTAATCATTGACCGCCACCCATTTCTGTTTTGCTCGGACGCTGTTAAAAAATACTCAACTATCCCAGCCTTCTCTGGCCACCTATTTGTTCAGGTTCTCTTGGTCTAGCCCTACTTCTTTTGTCTACTATTGTTCCAAATTGGAGCAAGACGTTAAAGGCCTTTAGTCAATTCAAGTGTGTCTTCCTAGATCTAGTTGCTTTTCATAGTGAGCAATCCACGTGGACTTCATTCTCAACTACTTCAGTTAATTTCATTTCCCACCATGAAATTTCCAACAGCTTCCTTGGAGACCATAGTTGTATAATAGCTGCTAGTATATTTTTCACCATCTTCAGTAATTGTTCTACATTCACATGTAGATGGATTGACCAAACCTTGTCTTTCATTGGATTTTCTTCAGCTCGTATTTTTATTGTATTTCTGTTGAACATTTAGCATCGGATCTAATTATCTATCCTACGTATCCAAACAGTTGAAATTGCTTCACCTTTTCATCTTTCCTTATATATTATGGGATTACAACAAGAATGTAAAATTACTGCTTTTCTTTAAATAGTACAGTCCTTTACATTAACTTTTCGTCTCAACAGCACATGTAGTTAAAAGCAGTTGGAGATTCTTTCCTGCATTTGCAATTAAAACTGCGTCATTGACTCGTACCATTACCATTTCATCCATTCACTTTAAGACCCTGATTATTTGTTCTGTGTTTCTAAGGATTTGTTCTTATATACATTAAGTTTT